CGGTCGTCCAGGGCATAGCAGGCGTGGCACTTTCTCGACACCATCGGGGGTGCGCAGGGGGTGGTCCCTGAGCGCGACCGCTATCCGCCACGGTCGTCCAGGGCATGGCAGGCGTGGCATTTTCTCGACACCACTGGGGGTGCGCAGGGGGGGGGGATCCCTCACCACGGCCGCTATGCACGACGGTCGTCCAGGGCATAGCAGGGGTGGCTTTTTCTCGACATGCGCAGGGGGTGGTCCCTCACCGCGGCCGCTATCCGAGACGGTCGTCCAGGGCATAGCAGGAGTGGCATGGTATCGGCACCATAGGGGGTGCGCAGGGGGGGGTCCTTCGCTATCCGACGGTCGTCCAGGGCATAGCAGGCGTGGCACTTTCTCGACACCATAAGGGGGTGCGCAGGGGGTGGTCCCTCACCGCGGCCGCTATCCGAGACGGTCGTCCAATGCATAGCAGGAGTGGCATTTTCTCAACACCACAGGGGGTGCGCAGGGGGTGGTCCCTCACCGCGGCCGCTATCCGAGACGGTCGTCCAGGGCATAGCAGGCGTGGCATTTTCTCGACACCATAGGGGATGCGCAGGAGGTGGTCCCTGAGCGCGGCCGCTATCCGAGACGGTCGTCCAGGGCATAACAGGGGTGGCATTTTCTCGACACCGTAGGGGCTGCGCAGGAGGTGGTCCCTCACCGCGACCGCTATCCGAGACGGTCGTCCAGGGCATAGCAGGAGTTGCATGTTCTCGACACCGTAGGGGGTGCGCAGGGAGTGGTTCCTGAGCGCGGCCGCTATCCGAGCCCGTCGTCCAGGGCATAGCAGGAGTGGCATCTTCTCGACACCGTAGGGGGTGCGCAGGGGGTGGTCCCTGAGCGCGGCCGCTATCCGAGACGGTCGTCCAGGGCATAGCAGGAGTGGCATGTTCTCGACACCATCGGCGGTGCGCAGGGGGTGGTCCCTCACCGCGGCCGCTATGCACGACGGTCGTCCAGGGCATAGCAGGCGTGGCACTTTCTCGACACAAGAGAGGGTGCGCAGGGGGTGGTCCCTCACCGCGGCCGCTTTGCACGACGGTCGGCCAGGGCATAGCAGGCGTGGCATGTTCTCGACACCAGAGGGGGTGCCCAGGGGGTGGTCCCTCACCGCGGCCGCTATGCACGACGGTCGTCCAGGGCATAGCAGGAGTATCACTTTCTCGACACCATAGGGGGTGCGCAGGGGGTGGTGCCTCACCGCGGCCGCTATGCACGACGGTCGTCCAGGGCATGGCAGGCGTGGCACTTTCTCGACACCAGAGGGGGTGCGGAGGGGGTGGTTCCTCACCGCGGCCGCTTTGCACGACGGTCGTCCAGGGCATAGCAGGCGTTGCACTTTCTCGACACCATAGGGGGTGCGCAGGGGGTGGTCCCTCATCGCGGCCGCTATGCACGACGGTCGTCCAGGGCATAGCATGCGTGGCATTTTCTCGACACCATAGGGGGTGCGCATGAGGTGGTCCCTGAGCGCGGCCGCTATCCGAGACGGTCGTCCAGGGCATAGCAGGGGTGGCATTTTCTCGACACCGTAGGGGTTGCGCAGGGGGTGGTCCCTCACCGCGGCCGCTATCCGAGACGGTCGTCCAGGGCGTGGCAGGAGTTGCATTTTCTCGACACCATAGGGCGTGCGCAGGGGGTGGTCCCTCACCGCGGCCGCTATGCACGACGGTCGTCCAGGGTATAGCAGGCGTGGCATTTTCTCGACACCATAGGGGGTGCGCAGGGGGTGGTCCCTCACCGCGGCCGCTATGCACGACGGTCGTCCAGGGCATAGCAGACGTGGCACTTTCTCGACACCATAGAGGGTGCGCAGGGGGTGGTCCCTCACGCACGCAAACACATACGATTTGAATTAAGTATGTGGGTTTCCTCGGTAGCGTAATTTTTCCCCACAGGCTTCGTGGGGTTATGGTTTCCTCCCTGCCGCGCCGCACCCGCGTTCACCTTCACCTCCTCCTCCCTCCTCCCCTTCTTACACAGCGCAGCACAGCTCAGCTCAGCACAGCACAGCTCAGCTCAGCACAGCTCAGCTCAGCTCAGCACAGCACAGCTCAGCTCAGCTCGGCACAGCACGGCACAGCTCAGCACAGCAGAGCACGCAGGGCTAGCGCGCAGGGCACGGCAGGCGTGACCGCATCGCACCACACACACACCACACGTCGGAGAGCGTGGCAGGCCCCACATAGAGGGGCACGTGGCAGGCGCGGCAGTTTCTCGACACCAGAGGGGGTGCGCAGGGGGTGGTCCCTCACCGCGGCCGCTATGCGTGCCATGGTCGGAGAGCGTGACAAGCGTTGTACTTTCTCGACACCATAGGGGGTGAGCAAGAGGTGGTCCCTCACCACGGCCGCTATGCACGACGGTCGTCCAGGGCATAGCAGGCTCAGAATAAGTGCAGAAATCTAACACAATCTCTGATAACATGAAAAAGTGCAAACAATTATTTGGTCAGAGCTCTAGTAGCAGGCCCATCTCAGGCGTTTAGATACTTTAGAGTCTTTTCTGAACGTCAGCTCCGGGCCTAAGAATCTTGGGCTCTCCGAGGCCTTCTTGGAGCAACAGTGGGCCATCTTGGGCGCTCTAACCCTCGCGGCCCCCCCCCGGTCCAGGTCCAGGGGAGGGGGTATGGTGGAGGGGTCAAGCTACCCACTCGCCCGCAAGCCGTCGAGCTCACTACCGCCCGCCCTCCCTACACAGAAGTAACACCCGAGCCTGAGCATGTTCAGCCGTCGTCTTTGGATGGGCAGTTACAGTGCCGTTTTTAATGCATGCTCCGCGTGCGGATCATGTCTCAAACATGCAGGGATTTAGTATCAAAAACAACGACGAGTCCATGCATAAATCTATTCATGAATTACTCATGTATTAACAATCCTATGTTTTCAAACATCCCATGCACTAAAACCTGCCCTGTACTGGGAGCCAACGCCGACCCCGGGCGCGCGGCGCCTGGGCGGTGCGCCACGCGCGCCAGGGGCACGCCTGGGGCCCGAGCGCGCCAGGCACGCCTGGTGCGCCAGATGCGCCACGTTCGACTGCACGTAAGAGTGACCCTTCGCCGGAGTGATCTTTGGTGCGGGCCCATTGGGGTCCCCGATCGCCGAACGCGAGGCGGCAGTGGCGTCTTGCGGCCCACAAAAAGCCGCGCACCAAAGGTCACTCTTACCCAGGGTCACTCTTACGTGTAGCCGACACGTGCTCCGAGTGCGCTGGGTGTGCCGCGCATTCCAGCCGCGCCAGGTGCGCCGCGCTCGGGGCACGTGCAGAGTACGTGCGACAAGGAAAGCAAAAAGGGGAGAACGTGCAGACAATTCTTTCCAACGTGCGCATTAAGATAACGAGTATTCCCATAGAAGGTGGCGAGGTTAGAGTCACAAAGAGGTGGTGTAAACTGGGAATTGCTACAGCCACCAACTGAAGGGGAACAATCCTTGAAATGACGTTTGACATTTCGACGGTCAAAAACTCGTGAATTGAGGTTTGCCGACTGCTGAAAACCACATCTGTCGGAGGTGTGTCAGGTGCGCCTGCGCACGTGACAGCACACATCGGGAAACATGTCGGCCCCCGCCATCCTTGTCGAAAGCCTATGCCAATCATTGTGTCAGGTGGGCCTTCGCACAGAAGGCCACTCGTCACCACCCCCGCGGTCCCTGTCCAAAACCTCTTGGTAGTGATCGCGGGATGGCCGCGCATGATCCAGATTTAGCCGCGACGTGCATGTTGCATTGTTTTGTTGTCAGGGATGGTAGCCCTGCGCGCAGCAGGGAATATGCTCACACCCCCACCGTCCTTGTCAAAAACAATGCAAAGTGCTCGCGGGCCTCACGAACATGACTCAAGACTTTTGCCCCAAAGTATACTTGGCATTGTTTGTGACAGGGATGGTGGGGCGGGCCGCATCGGGTTGGCCGCGCATGCTTCAAATGTGGAGGCAGAGTGCGGTTTGTATTGTTTCGTTGGCAGGGATGGGGGTGTAGCGGGTCGGCATGGTGTCGGCATGGTGTCGGGTTGGCCCCCGGTCGCTTGGGGGAGGGCGTGTATACTAAGAAGGAAAGTGATCAAGCTACCCACTCGCCCGCAAGCCGTCTAGCTCACTCCCACCCGCCATCCCAACACATAAGTAACACCCGAGCCTGAGTGCGCCAGGTGTGCCGCACATTCCAGCCGCGCCAGGTGCGCCATGTTCGGGGCACGTGCAAAGTGTGTCAGGTGCGCCTGCGCACGTAACCACACATCGGGATACATGTCTGCCCCCGCCATCCTTGTCGAAAACCTACGCCCATCATTGTGTCAGGTGGGCCTGCGCAAAGCAGGCCACGCGCCACCACCCCCGCGGTCCCTGTCAAAAACCGTTTGACAGCGATCGCGGGCTGGCCGCGCATGATCCAGATTTAGCCGCGAGCCGCTTCCCACCGTCCTTGTCAAAAACAATACAAAGTGTTCGCGGGACTCATGAACATGACTCAAGATTCGGCCCCAACGTGTACTATGCATTGTTTTTTGACAGGGATGGTGGTGGGGGGGCGCATCGGGTTGGCCGAGCATGCATAATTCAAATGTGGAGGCAAAGTGCGGCTTGTATTGTTTTGTTGGCAGGGATGGTGGGGGGCTGGTCGTCATGGTGTCCTCATGGTTCCTGGTTGGACGCTGGTCGCCTGGGGGAGGGGGTGTATTTGAATATAGGGAACAGCGCTAAACCCCTCCCCGAAAGGGAAGAGGGGTTCTCTTGGACGAGGAAAGAAAGATCTCGTTAGACCACCTACGCCCAGAGGGCTGGTGGGACTTGGAGAAAGAGATTGCGAAGGCGTGGAAGTGGCCCACCAGGCATTCGCCACGTGTTGATTTCGTTTTGGTTGCAAGTATGCGCTCCCCACCCCTGAGCATGCGAAGGGCGATGCGTTTCGCTGGATGTGGATGTCGCAAGAGAGGGCCTTTCGTCTTGCCGCCCTCCTCCCAGCGCGCAGCGAGAGGCTCGATCTGAAGGCAGTGGAGGCGAGAACGAGCAGGTGCCCGGGCTTCGCTCCCGCCAGCGCAGACATTTATTTATTCGCATGTTTGCAGCGTGTCCCTCGCACACTTGGAGCTTGGAGGGGAGGGGGCTCCGTTGTGATCAGGATGAAGGACTATTTGACGACATGTGGTTGCCATGGTCTGCGGAGTCGATGTGTATGTGCATGTGTATGTTTATGCGTATGTACGTGTGGGCGTGGGCGTAATTATGTGCATCGGCGGCTCAAAAGTGGCGTCTTGAGGCTTTCTTGGAGCGCTCCTGACACGAATTCAACAATTCTTGACGCTTTGCGTATCCCCTACCATCAGCCGCTGCTGTATGAGTGGGCCGGCTGGCTTGCGGCGCGCTTAGCTGCTAATTAGGCCGCTGTCGTGACCCGTAGCGCTCCTGACTCCGCTTGCGCCTTCGCTTGCGGACGCGACCGAAAAAGTATCCCCTACCAGCGTCGCGGCCCGACTAGTGTTCGGACGGCTTTCGACCTGCTTCGCGAGCCCGCAGACCAAAAAGTATCCCCACCAGCTGTCCGTAACCCCCTGGTTCAAGCCGTCTTGCGGAAACCCCGCCGCTCGAGGGGGCGCCCGATGCCGCGGCGGCGCGGCCAGGCCCACGCGGCCCCGAGCTGCCATCCCGGCGCCTCCCCCTGGCGGCTGCCGCCATCCTCCTGCCGTGGTCACGCCTTTAGCGCCACGGAGGGGGATCGGACCCCTGCGGACCATGGAACGGGAACCAGCGAGGGCACCAAAGATCCCGAAGATCACGGAAATGCTCCAGTCGAGCTTGCCTGCCACGCCGATGGCGAAGAGCAAGGACAGCCTGGGCGATCGTGAGGATCCCTACAGGCTCGCCCCTGGCCAGGGCCTGCGGTGCCCTGGCCAGGGGGGGGTCCGACGCCGGGCCCTGCCACCGCCCGACTCCTGCACACGAGAACCAGCGAACACTGTAAGCCCCTGGCCCTGGTCTCCGAGTCGGACGCGAACATTAAAAACCCACATTTGCCCAGCCAGCACCCTAGGCTGGGCAGGTTCAAAGGACGAGGAGGAGGAGGAGGAGGAGGAGGAGGAGGAGGAGGAGGAGGAGGAGGAGGAGGAGGAGGAGGAAAAGGAAGGAAGGAAAACACAGCTAGCAGGCGCCCACATGCAGGAGGAGAGGGAGGGCGGCAAAGGCAGCAAAGCAGAAGGGGCGGGCGGGGGGCGGAGGGGGCGAGTGGCGTCGAAGGAAGTCGCGGGCCGTCGTGGGTCGTCATGGGCCACGAGGTCGCCGCGGTCGCCGGGGGGGCTGCTGGCCGTTCAGGGTCTGGGGCCGTCACAACGGCGGGGCGTCGGGAAGGGCGGGCGGGGTCGACGGCGGGGGCGGGCAAGGAGCGGTTCACACCGCATCCGCCGTGGCGGCTGCGTTGGCCGCGGCCAACCGCTCGGCCGTCGCGCCTGCTCGCGGCTGGAGGCGCCGCAGCACTGCCCGCGCATTTTCCCTGTGCAGGGAAATCAAAAATCGCTGGGCAAGCTGATCGGCTGCGAGCGCGGCGTCGTCTCCAGTAGCGTCGGCCGCGCGCTTTGAGAGCACCGCGAAGGCGCGTCGCGCCTCGCGGCCCCAGCCGCCGCCGTGGGCCTCGCATACCATCGGTATGAACGTCAGGCCGGCCTCTGAGAATTTGCGCTGCGCGTCCAAGTGCAAGCGCTTCTGCTCCTCGTAGCGGGTCGCCGCTGCGTTGCCGCCGCCCTGCGCGGCAGAAGCCGCGAGTAAGTCCGCGCGGAGGCCCGAGGTCACAGCGAAATCCCACGCCGCCGGCGCGCCGCCTCGCCACCGCGGGACGAAGACGTCCGCGGGACGCCTCCCGTCGCCGTCCAGGTCGACGCCGCCAGCCTCGCCAGCCGGGGGGCCCTCTCCAGGCGCGCGCGGCGGCAGCAAACCCGGGCGCTCGAGTTCTGCCCCAGCGTAGCCGGCGGCCAGCGCCTCGTGCCAGGCTTGGTTCCGGAGGCAGTTGTGGCGCTTCGTGCGGTCACCGCGGCAGCTGCAGGTGAGCGCGTGGTCTGCGAACACATCCATCATCTCCCCGCACGCCGGGCAAAATGCCTCCTCTTCGAGCAGCTGGTGTCGAAGGCGTCGCTGCAGCGCCACTTGCATCAAGCTGTGCGGGAAGTCGGTGCCGAGCGCCCGGCACGGCGGCGCCTGCAAGTAGGCCCCAGCTCCTGGGGCCGCCACCAAGTTAAGGTGGGCCCTCGTCGCCTGCGAGGCGCGTTGCCAGAGGTCGTCGCGAACAGCGTCGTCCACCTTTCCAGAGAGGAGCCGTTGGTCTCCGTGCTGGGCAGGGTCGAAGGCGATTTGGTCTGCTGGAAGGACAGTGTGGTTGAAAGCCTGCGTGGCTGCCGCCAGGCTGCCTCCGTCCCCGCCGTCGGCGTCGTCGTAGGCTCCGTAAAGCTGTCGGCAGAGTTCCGCGCTGCGGGCGCGCGAGGCAAGGTAGGCGGCCGCCGAGCGCTTCTCGGAGGAGCGGAGCCCGAGCCCGCCTCGGTTGAGTTGGAGCTGCGCTTGCTTCCAAGAGTCGTCCAGGAGGGAACATCCACTGAGCTGCTCCAGACAAGCCCGGGCGGCGGAGCCCATGGCCTGCAGCGCGCCGGCGCGCGCCGTCGGCGGAACCACGCGCGCGGAGTAGCCCAGCTTGCAGTAGGAGGCGCACTGGCGGAGCAGAAGCAAGGCCACTTGGGCGTTTTCCAAAGCCCCGATAGCCTCCAGCAGGTCAGCAGCCTTGGCCACTCTTGTCCTGGTGTGTTCCGCGCAGAAACTGTCGCCCCCCACGGGGGCCCCCAAAAGTTCGAAGCTGTTGTCTTCCCTGAGGCGGAAGCCCGGCGGGAAAGCGCTCACATCCACGCTGCTGTCCGCGCCGCTGGCAGGTACCACCTCGCACTTGCCTGGCCCAGTGCTGAGGTCCAGTCCAGCTGCGGCTAAGCGCCTCACCAAGTGGCGCAGGAGGCGGGCAACTGCGGGCGCGTCCCCGGCCAGGCAGCCGTCGTCGAGGTAGAAGAACACCAGGTCCAGGGAGCCGTCGGCAGGGTCGGCCTGCTCGGCGCGCGCCTGCTCCACGCAGCGCTGCAGAGCGAGCGCGAAGAGAAGCGGGCCGAGCGGGTCTCCTTGTTGGACGCCGCGCTCGGAGGACAGCGGCCGAGTTCTCTTTCCCAGGAACAGTGAGCTTGGGGCGCCGTAGCACCAGTCCACAAAGGGGGCAAGGCCAGGGAAATCTTCGTGAACTGCTTGCAGGACTGCCTGCCTGTCAAGCGTGTTGAAGGCATTCGACAGGTCGAGTTTCACGAACACCTTCTGGCGGGCCCCCTGGTTCCTGCTCCACCACTGCCGCGCGACGTGGACCGCGGCCTCTGTGCCCCCAGGCACCGCCACCCCCAGCTGCAGAGGCGCAAGCCTGCCACGCGCCGCGCAAGCCTGCCGCGCGCCACGCGCCGCGCCGCGCCACGGGAAAGGAACTTATCCAGAGTTTGTGCAGGGCCCGGGGGCCTTGTCACTGCCAGGGGACCAGACCGTGCCTGGCTCATTCGGACCCGAAATCCCACCATGCCAGCCAGTATGCCCCAGCAGACGGTAATGCAGGTCGGAGTCGCTCTGCTCTTATCGATCAGGCCACCGACATCGCTCAGCCGGCTCGAGTCGCCGTCAGGGCTACTGACCCGCTTGCGGCCGATCGATCCGACCCCACTACCCTCAGTCATGCAGCCGTTAGCTGCTTTCACTAAACAGGCGATCGGGGCCAAGACGACGACGATGATACAACCAATGATGTGGCCGTTAGTCGCCAACCCAGAGATGACGACGACGATCTGTTCCCCCCTGAGCTGGTGTCCGTCAGCCACCCTCTCGTGGCAGACAGGACGGACGTCCAGCACCCCCCCGATGTGGGCCGCCAAATGCAGTGTTCTTCTCCAGATAATGCGACCGTTAGCCACCACCCCCGAGGAGAGGCGGCCCCAGTGATACCGTGCACTGTCGGCGGCATTGTGACGGACAGGGCGGGCGACCAGCACCCCCCCGGTGCGGGCCGTCAGTTGCAATCTTCTTCCCCTGATAGTTTGGCCGTTAGCCACCACCCCCGAGATGAGGCGGCCCCACCGATTTCTGAATCTCCAGTGATCGTGGCCCTTGGCCACCAATCTGGTATCGCTGTGGGCTCGTTGACGGGCATGACGGGCGACCAGCAACCCCCAGGCGAGGGCCGCCGTGGCTCCGATGTCTGCGGCGTGATGGACAGGGCGGGCGACCAACACCCCCCCGGCGCGGGCCGCCAGATGCAGTCTTCTCCCCCTGATCATGCGGCCGTTAGCGACCACCCCAGGGACGAGGCGGCCCCGCCGACGTCCGACTCACCTGCGCTTGTGGCCGTTAGCCGTCGCCCTGGTGTCGCCGTTGGCACGGTGACGGACATGACGGGAGACCCCCGTGCTCAGCCGCGCCCCCCATTCGTTGTGGCTGCCAGCCAAACCCCCTTGGAGGGTGCAGGACAGCAGAGACCATATGCCCCCGTGACGAATGATGCCGAGGGCCGCGTGATTTTCGTGACGGACCTCCAATGCCCCCCTGGCGCAGGCCAACGCGGGCAGCCTCGCTCTCCAGTGACTGCGGCCGCTTGCCATTCCCCCAGCGGAGAACTGGCAGCGCCACCGTGGCCGGGCGCCTGCCCCCACCCACCGGAGGGGCCAGCGGGCCAACCCACACCCGATGCCCGCGACATCACCCCGACGGCCCACCTCTCCCGCCCCGCATGGGTCGGGGGAGCTGACGAGTAGGCCGCCCCAGACCGGCGCAACGGCCCCGGCGGCCACTGCCGCGGCAGGTCTCGCAGCGCGATAGCTGGGCGCAGGAGGGCCCCCTCCCGCGACATTTCGCCCTGGAGGCTCCAGCGCCCCCCATGCATGTCTGATGACTGGGAGCTCGTCGACCTCGGGGGAGGCGCGCAGGCCCTCCAGGACAGAGAAGGGGGCCTTATCTCGCAAGATG